AGAAAATTTTTTTATCACTAATTTTCAAAATTTCACGTTCATGTGATTACTTCTTTCCCTCCTTAATAGCATCGTGTAACTTCTTTGTGACACGATCTTATAATTTTATGTCGCACATCTTTTTGTATGTAGTACATAAAATTTTTTTTTTAAAAATATTTTAGACTTTTTTGACTTTGACTTTTTCACTCTAAACAACGAATTAATTTTGGTTTTAATTCTTTTTTTTTGAAAAAAAAAGTTTACAATTTATCCTCTAATTTGCTTTTACATTATACATTTATCAATTAAAAAAATATGAGCACACACGACAAGGGACAAGCCCAACTTAATGGAAATGGAACTGACAAATTACCTCGCCTACAAATAATTGATGAAAATCAACATTTCACGTAGGCTTCATTTTTTCTTCGATTTATACACTGTGAATTTAATCATGTAGTTAAATGTCTTATTTGCTGTTCCGTTTTGTGTAAATAGAAAAGAATTGCCAAATTTTATGAAAGAGGAATGGAATCTAGCAGATTCTGGCTTCAATTATAATATAGTAGCAGTTTTTGGTTCACAGAGTACAGGAAAAAGTACGAATCAAATAATACATGTAATTTCATCATTAATTGATTCGGTTAATTGGTTCAATTCTTCATCAAATGTCCAATCAGTATCAGACAATAAAATTACTGAATAATTTTATAATGAATAAATTAAAAAAATATTAATTAATTAATGTACCAATAATTAAGTAACTAATTATAGTGATAGTGATTAAGAGATTGGTAGAATTTACCTTCTGCGGACTTTGTGAACTGATCAATAACTTGTTCACGAGCATTGGACACAACTTCAGCAAAATCATAGCCTTCACCTTTTAATTTTTCATGAATTATGGAATTGAAAATCGTAACTGCTCTCTTGGATAGATTTTTCAGTTGACCTGTGAAAAATACATGCAGCTGAGAATTGGCTTTGTTAAGAACTTCTTGTCTTTTACGTTTATACACCTCATTATGATAACGTGACGCCTCTTTATCAAATTGTTCTATTAAATGGATAAAAAAAAATATCAATATAAAAATGTGCAAATACGAGTATAAATACATAGTATGATTTATTTAGAAAATTTGCTCTTACTTATAGTTGTATTTCTAATTTCCTCCATTTCTGTTCCCAATTCTTCAATAACTTTACCAGATTCAATAGGTTGACGAAATCCTTTAATTTTTTTCACAAAT